TATCCTCCATTTTATGGCAAGAGAAATAAAAATAATAAACCCCAAACTTTGAGGAAAAAACTTCATACTGGAATCCCCAAAGGATTCCGAATTTATATGTTTAACAATTAAAACATAAATGAGTAGGAGGCTGGCCTAAGTATAATTTACCATGAAACATCAACTATGTTTGTAATTATAGCATGTATACGTATATATATACACACATACACAGACATATATACGCATATATACATATATATACACAGATATACCACAAAAAATAATAACTAAAAATTGGACTCTTGGGTCTCCCTGGTGGCACACTGGGTTGAGCGCAGCACTATGGAGCTGTCCACAGCCTCTGCAGCATGGGTTCGAATCCCGGCTGGCCAGGAGAGACCCACATGGTGTGGTAGGCCTCGCCTGTCTCGCCTGCTGCTCCCCTCAGCAGTGCTTTCGGTCCGACTGCCTGCCCTGCTCCCCACTTTGTCTTTGGTGAATTTTCTCACCCTCCTGCACCTCTGGCCTGTACCCCAGCTCTTGTATAAATAAAATAAATCTTAAAAAAAAAAATAAGATAAAAAAAAAAAAATTAGACTCCATGGCCTAGATGTATTTAGTGAGATATTTCACTGAATATTAGAAAGGTGAAGGGAACCGAGCACAGAAAGCAATGGCACAGGACAGTCTCTAACAAAAAATACTACTGATGTTAAAAGAACACCAAAGAGAGAAAGGCTTCTCCCTTAAAGGTTTCAGAGAGATTCAGACAGAGATTGAGAGAGGAGAGAGAGAGAATCTCTGCGGATACTTTGATTTCTGACGCTCCAGAATTTTTGTTATTTTAAGTCACCCAGTTTGTACTAGTTTGTTACAAAAGTCCAAGGAAACTAATACAGATGTACTATTTTCCTACAGTTCTCTATTTTTTGGTTGTCTTAACAATTAGTGATTTAAAACTAAAATTTGGAAATGACTTTTAAATAAATGGATATATTAATCAGATATCTTCTGACAAATAAACATATTGTATTTCACTGCAAGCAATAATTTTGATTTTATATTATTAAAATATTATAAGCATGGGAACCACTAGAGGTCAAGTGTATATTTGTGGAAAAATTAAGATATGGGAACTTGAAATATCTGATACAAGTAACAGAAAACTAAATAAAATTTTATTATTTTAAAATAGTGCAAATAATTACAAAGAGAAATGTTCCAACTGTACAAACCGTTGTGTGTATATGTGTATATATACACTCATGCACATGCACGCACATACACATCTAAACTTTGCTTCATATTTCATCTTTTTATCTGAGTAAAAAGAAGTACACTTTGCTCATCCAGAAGATTTTTGATGTTGTAATAATTACCTAGAAATAGAGTGATAAGAAAAATTATTTCCATAGAAATCATTTCCTCTTGATTAAATAGTCATCACTAAGCAATTATATATATAGCAGCACCAAATAAAAATAATCAGTCCACCTAAGTAACTAATTCCACAAACTGAAAAATCTGTGTTAGCCACTGCCTATGATCCAGATAAGGTTTGAAAGAATGTAACCTTCATTGTCATTCTGACAATGAATGCAAAAAGACAAGGGTTCAGGAAGTAAAATCTCTTCCTGCATCCAATCATTGTTAATTTTTGGAACTGCTATGGAGTCCCTAAACCAGACACATGCATGTACAAGTAAGTATGAAAGGTAACATAAATAAAATAGTAAAAATGTAACATATTAAGTAAAAGCTACTCTTAAATAAGTTGACAAATAACAGCAAAAATGAAATATAGATGAATAGCCAGCCACACATAAAGTAGGTTTTACAGGACTGAGTACCATACTGTAACTTTCTATATATAAGAAACTGATACATATTAAACTTAACTGCATCAGTAAATGTTGTATTCACAACAGTGCTGGTACATACAAATATTTTTTGTTTTCATTAGAATGTAAGCTCCATGACAGCAGGAATTTTTTCCTATTTTGTTCACTTATATATCCTTCACTCTTAGAGCAATGCTAGGCAGACTCTCATTCACGTTTGTTGAATGAACGAAAACAAATGAACAAATTAAAATTCCTATTCCCCAAATCCGTATTCTTCAATACTGTGTTCTTCAAACATACAATATTCTGTATGTTTAAATAACCTACTCAAGGGCCTCCCTGGTGGCGCAGGGGTTAAAGTGTCAGCCCTATCAAGCTATTGCCAGCCACTGTGGCATGAGTTTGAGCCCAGGCCAGGGAGCTAACCCACATGGCACAGCAGACCTCTCCTGTCTCGCCCACTGTTCCCCTCAGCAGTGTACTTCAGCAGATATGCCTTTTCTGCTCCCCACTCTGTCTTTGGTGAAGCCTCTCACCTCTGCACCTCTGGCCTGCACCCCAGTTCTTTTATGCAGCAAAACACTGCTGAGGGGAGTAGAGGGTGAGACAGGAGAAGTCTGTTGCGCCATGTAGGTTAGCCCCCTAGCCGACTGAACTTGTGCCATAGTGGCTGGCAGTAGCACTGTGTCTTTAACCCCTGCCACCAGGGAGGGCCTAATAAATAAATCTTAAAATAAATAACCTACTCAAAATTGTGTGACTACACGATGTCTTAAAGATAGTAACTTTTCTTCTATCCTGGAGACAACCTATATTCTAAGTAAATATTTTCAGCAATAAGCAATTCTTATATTTTCTTGTATTTATTTGTATTTCACAATTCTTCACATTTCATATATTCAAATTTCAAGTATTAAAATACTTCTTTAGTGATAAAACTAAAAGAAAATATGTACCAAGCTTCTTTAGCATCAATGACATCATGCTTAATTTTGATCACTGTGGTTTCAATCTTCAGGGTGCTCATGAGTATCTATAAAAATGCTATAATATGTGAAAGAGAATGTCTTTAATTATTCTTACCTGAAGGAACAAAGAATGAATCCCCAGTTGTTATCACATAAGGTGTTTCATGTAAGGTACATAAAAGGTTACCAAACTTAACATAAAAAACCTGTAAATTTAAAAACCAATTTCATTTCAAGTTGAACCACAACAAAGAATTAAGGAAATAAGGGCCCTAGTAACCCTCCCCCGTACACACACACACACACACACACACACCTCACCCCACCCCGCCCCGCCGCTGCCATCACACACAGCCTCCAGCCAAGATGCCCAGATGCTAATCTTCAGAATTTACTGTTAGGTAGTAAAAGGGGCCTTAGAAAGATAACCTTGAGTTATCTAGTTGGGTCTAATCTAGTTGTATAAGCCCTTAAAAATAGAAATAAAATTTTCTCCTGCTGGAAGCCTTGGAGAGATGAAACAGAGAAGTGAGAGAAATGAAACATGAGATACACTGTTGTTAGCACTGAAGAGGGTCAGGAACCAAGGAATACAGACTATTTCCAGATCTTGAGAATAACATACTGATTAATAGCCAGTGAAGAAACGAGAACCTCAGCCATTTAAATACATGGAACTGATCTTTGCTAACCACAGAACTTGAAAACAGATTCAACCTATGAATCTCCAGAGAAGAATACAGATCTGCCCATATCTTGGTTCGAAATAGTGAAGTCCACCAGACTTTTATAACTGACCTAACTATGATAATAGTGGGTGTCCTTTCAAGTCACAAAATTTGTGGTCATTTTTTAGACTGGCAATAGGAAACTATACAGGGAAAAAAGTCTTTTTTTTTTTCATTATTATTTATTGGCTTATGAAAACTCAGAATCACTGTAAAGAATGTCACTTTACTATATGGACCTTCCTCAACTTACAATGTCTGAATAAACCCATTGTAAAGTGATAATATCACAAACTGAAAATGCTGGCTGGGAGCATTGCTGCTGCTGCTGCTGCCACCGTTTTTACTGAATACATATTGCTTTTATACTATAGTAAAGCTGAAAAACTATAGTATAGATGGGCACCATTTATATTAGAAAAATGGCTAGGTTTTTATGGACCTCTCTTTAATGATTCCAAGTTTAGGACACCAGACTACTCAATTTGACTAATGAGTCAAAGAAAGAACAAAAAGAAAAAAACGGGGCCTCCCCAGTGGCACCGCCAGTTGAGTGCAGTGCTGTAAAGCTGTCCGCAGCCTCTGCAGCGCTGGTTCGATTCCTGGCTGGCCAGGGAGATACCCACATGACACGGCAGACCTCTCCTGTCGCCCGCTCCTCCCCTTAGCAGTGTCTTTGGTCCATCTGCCTGTTCTGCTCCCTACTCTTTCTCTGGTGAATCCTCTTACCCTCCTGTGTCCTCTGGCCTGTATCCCAGTCCTTGTATAAATAAAAAAATAAATCTTAAAAAAAAAAGACAAGGGCCTCCCTGGTGGCACAGGCGGTTGAGTGCCATGCTGTGAAGCTGTCCACAGCCTGCAGTGCTGATTCGATCCCGACCGGCTTGGGAGGGTCCCACACGGCACGGCAGACCTCTCCTGTCTCACCCGATGCTCCCCTCAGCAGTGTGTTTCGTCAGTCTGCCTGTTCTGTTCCCTGCTCTGTCTCTGGTGAATCCTCTCACCCTCCCATGCATCTGGTCTGTACCCCAGTTCTTTTTTTTAAAGATTTATTTATTTATTTGTTTGTTTGTTTATTTGTTTATTTATTCAAGCACTGGGTACAGTCAGAAGCACGGGAGGGTGAGAGAATTCACCAGAGCCAGACAGACAGACTGATGAAATACACTGCTAAGGGGAGGAGCGGACGCGGCAGGAGAGGTCTGCACGTCATGTGGGACCCTTGCTGGTGGCTGGGGATCGAACAGGTGCTGCAAAGGCTACAGGCAGCTTCACAGCCCAGCGCTCAACCGCTGTGCCATTGGGGAGGCCTGTACCCTGGTTCTTGTATAAATATAAAAATAAATCTTAAAAAAAAAGACAAAAAAAGTCATGCATTTACACAAGTACCAAGAGTAATAAAATAAGAGAAGATAAATCTCTTCAGTCATACAGACTTCCATAATCAAACATGGCAAATTTTACGTTTTATACATAGATAGCAGAATCCTGCAAATAATCTGGTTTTGGGAAGGCAACTAAATAAAAACTGCAAGGCTTTTAAACTTCAAAATTCAAATTTTGAGATTCAGCCATTGGGATTTTTTTTTTCTTTGCTTCAGAGAATTCGCCTTCCTCCTACTTCCCTTTTTTTTAAACCACTTTGTGAAACGAGCCTAAACTACCACAATGCAGCTAGCATTTATAATAGCACTTGCTCTAGGCCAGCCAATGTTCTGAGCACTTTATTTTTATTCATTCAATGTATATATATACCAGTGAGATGGGTACTAAGTAAGTATAGATATTAGTTTTTCAGAGATGAAGAAGACAAGGCAGGGCACTAAGGGTGTGACTTTCTAAGGTCATGATAGAAATGGAAAAGTTGGATTTGAACTAGTTTGATTCCGGAATTCATGTTCTTAACCACTATGACATACTGATTTCCTAAATGGGAAAGAAGTGTTTGAAAAAAAGCTCTAAAAGAACTCTTATAATTTATATATTTTTTTGCATAGAAGAACTGGGGTGAAGGCCAGAAGTGCTGGGACTGAGAGGGTACACAAGAGACAGAGTGGATTTACTGTAATAAACTTCTAAGGGGAGCAGCAAGTGAGACAGGAGAGGTATAAGTGGGTTAGTTCCCTGGCCGGGGATGGAACTCAGGCTGTAGTGGTGATAGTGCTGAGACTTAACACCTAGGCCATGAGGGAGGCCCAGAACCCTTATAATTTAATAAAACAACAACAACAAAAAATTTTTTTAAGATTTATTTTTTATAAGAACCAGGGTACAGGTCAGATGCGTGGGAGGGAGAAAGGATTCACCAGAGACAGAGCGGGGAACAGAACAGGCAGACTGACGAAATTCACTACTGAGGGGAGCAGCGGGAGAGACAGGAGAGGTTTGCCGCGCCATGTGGGACCCTCGCCGGCTGGCTGGGATGGAATCGGTGCTGCAGAGGCTGCCGACAGCCTCACAGCGCGTCGCTCAACCGCCTGCGCCACCAGGGGAGGCCCAACAACAACAAAATTTATATCAACTTTAGAGAAAAGATACTGTAGCATGTATTTCTATGTTTTTTCCTTATTTATTCAGTTTGGCTCTCTAAACACAAGCCTCCCCACTTTGCACACATTTTACTAACAAGGTTTTTGAAATATACAATAATGAACTAGCATGAATATCTAATATATACATACATACACATGACACATAAAAGTTGCAAGGGGGTGAATCTCTAAAGAGAGAAACACAGGGCCTTCCTGGTGGTGCAAGGGGTTAGGACGCAACCTATGAAGCTATCTGCAGCCACCGCAGCACAAGTTCGATCCCCTGCCAGGGAACTACCCACAGGCGCAGCAGACTTCTCTTAACTCACCTGCTGCTCCCTCAGCAGTGTATTTCAGTCAATCTGCCTGAAATACACTGTTCTGCTCCCCACTCTGTCTCTGGTGAATCCTCTCACCCCCCACACCTCTAGCCTGAACTCTAGTTCTTGTATACATAAATAAATAAATCTAAAAAAAAGAGAGAGAGAGAAAGAGAGAAACACAGAGATAACTTAGGCCAGCAATTTTGCTATATACGATAATATACTGTTGAGTACTTTTTCAAGCAACTAGCTTCCAGTGCCCAGTCTGCTGCTAACTAATTACAAGATTGTGAATTCTTTTCACCTCATTATTGCTAAACTGCATGATGGAGAACGAGATTTAGATTTAATCACTATAAATCCCCTCAAGCTTTAAAATTTTAACGATTGTTTACAAACCTATACACTAAGATTTTTGTTCTAAAGACATCTGAATCAAAGTTCTGAATCTCAAGGTTACACTGCTATGCACAGAACAACTTTTAAGTAAGCACAGATTGATTAACTCTCAATAGATTAACAAATTAAAAAAAAATTCTGAGCACTGTAGTAATATTTTTGAGGAAACAGCACTTTATGCTTCATCAAGTTCAATAAATCAGACTTGCACCAATATCAAAAAGATAAATATATGGAGAAATAAACTTACCAATATATCTGAGCGAACATGCTGCTTTCCCTTTTCTTGATGTGGTCCTAATGTCAATTTTCCAGTAGAAAAAAGGGTGTATCCAGTGTTTTATATACTTTCAGTTCACATGCGCAACAAAAAATTGGTAAGTATCTCGTGGCCTTACAAGATCTAAGGGAAAAAATAAATATAAAGTAAAAAAAATACAAAAAATAGTGATGCAACAATACACACACACATATAATAGTTACGACTAGATGTAAACCTGTCTTAGACAGAAGTGATTAAGTTAATTGACTCTGGAGACAGAATGCCAGAGGACAAATCCTCCCTCTGCCTTACAAGCTCTATGAATTTAGGTAAGTTATCAATGTCTGTCTGTCTCTCTCCATTTTCTTTGCTATACAATGAGATTAAAAAAGAAAGTTCATATTTCATATGAGTTACAGGTGTGAGATATTTAAGACACTGGCACAAAGTAAACATTAGGTAGGTCTTAGCTATTAATATTAATGGCAGTAATTATTATTTCTATTATAGGAAGGTTGGAAAATAAAATAAAGAGATAAGAATTCCGTATCTTTAAAAAGTTTATCATAACTCTTAATCATTATGCCACTATTCTTTTGTAATTGATTGACAGATTATTAAATAACAAGGTATTTACTTATCAGGTAAAGGTACTCAGTAAACAGAATTCTGTTACTCACAAATTACTATCTTACTTTTGAATTTCCCTTTTACTTACAAACCTTTCCAAATCTGTAACTAATATTCTTATCTATCAGTAGCTTCTGACACTGTTTCCTTGGCTACTCAGGAATGTTAGTAATCCTACACATTATAGAATATAGAGAATAGAGGCTCAAAAACAGACAAAAAGTAATGAACGCCTAACAACACAATTTTTCAAACCTGGTGCAGTATGGTGATGCTATTAATATTACACTAAATAAAATTCTCTGTACTTCTACCTCTATTGCCAAATAATTGAATAAAGAAAAGTTGTTGAAACATTTATGTATTTCAAATATATAAATATTGCCTAGTGGAATGTCACTTATCCCCACCACACATTAGTCAAACCCTTGGGAACTCCACAGTCTCCAGACACTGAATGTTTAAAACCTACTAAATATAACAGGCACCTTCCAGAACCCTCTGTAGGCCTTAGGTTTAAGCCTGTTATTTGTTTGACTGATTGTTCTGTTAGTCATGCTCCCCAAAGGTTTCACCTACCAGGTACCATTACTGGCATTCCAAGACCTGGAAGGCTGTCTTAATACTATCTACAATCCCTGCCTAGGATCAAAATAAGAGTATATCCTGAGTCTGTTTGCTACAATTCCCCATAAATGGCTTGTCTCAATGTGACCTCCTGAACACCACTGTAGGAGTTAACAGTCTTGACAATGGTACTAGTAGTTCAAAGGACAAATTCATGGTGTTCTGTGTCCCTGGAGATTACTTGCCATCAGTGCTCCCCCAGAACAGCCCTCACACAGGCTGCTTATTAGCATTAGACATTCTACTGGATTTTTGCTCTGAAATAAATGGAGCAAGAGATGGAAAGTAGATAAAAGTCAGTCAACAAATCAAGTTTTTGTCCTTTGTTTTTTAAACTAAACATTTTCAATACCATCCTTTATCTTACCCATAAGAATAATCTCTCTTGTTTCTGGGTCCTTTACCCTCGTTGGTTGCAAAGGATCTCCCAGAGGTATATTCAGATTTATCGCTAATTTATTATCTGCAAAAGAAGTATCATTGAAATACAAACTACTTAAAATTCTTTTCAACTGAAGAAAAACTAGTATGAAATACAATAATGGACAAGTCGTAGCAGAAAATAAGCAGAGGTATAGTCCTATTTAAAAATGACCACTTTGATAAAAGTTCAAAAACCACAATGATTTACTATAGAAGCATACATCCTAAACACATTTTCTATAAGCCTATTAAAATAAAACATAACAACTCTTGTTTTTTTTTTTTTTTTTTTTTGTGTGTGTGTGTGTGTGTGTGTGTGTGTGTGTGTGGGACCCTCGCCGGTGGCCAGGGATCGAACTGGCACTGCAGAGGCTGCAGGCAGCCTCGCAACCCAGCGCTCAACGGCTGTGCCACCAGGGGAGGCCCAAAACATAACAACTCTTGAACTCTTGCATCATCAAGAAGTTAAATGACTGTTCTGCATATTCTCTGATAGCATGTACTACACTTTAGAAAAATTCATTAAAATGTCAATTTTAACCACAGCTTGGGGACAGAAAAGGAGTTTCGTTTGTGTGGTTTGCTTATGAAGAAATTATTTATACTATGCCATTAATGATTTTTTTAAAAGAATTTCAAATTTTATTTCAAAATTTGTGGGGGAAAGGTGGTCATTTTTACCCTATAGTACCACATCTGAGTTTTTAGAGATAAATTTCAAAATTTTCAAAGTGCTACTTTTCAAAGTACTGTCACTTAAAAGAAAATCTAGAAGTTACTTTCAGGAATAAGTTCATACTTCTTTTATCATTATCAAGACAGATCCTTTTTCTATTAACAAATTTGTTGACTTTTTCCATGTTTCCTTTTGCCTTCCTTTTAGATGATACTGCGTCTGGGGATAGTATTCCACCAATCACAAAGCCCCTGAAATTAACAAAAATGGTAAAATTTCATATCTGTGAAAATGAAAAGTGAGAAACAAAACTCTAAATATAACACATTTCCTTTCAAAGTACCAAAGAAAACATTACTATTACTATATTCTATAGTTAACAATTCAAATAACACATACTACCAACCTATTTCATGTAAATGTCTTTTATTCTAAATCTAGAAGCACTGATGAAACATGACTGAATGTCTTCAGTTGTGTAAAATCAATAGTCACGCCTGGCAATTTAAAAAAAAAAAAAAACACACAAAGGCCAGCAATGAATTATTTATAGTAGTCCACATGTGAGTTTAGTTCTTTGACTTAGCTATATTCTTTAAGAAAGGAAATAATTTTAAGATAACACTCACAATACTTTTGTGCCCAACCTTTACCATTTATGTAGAAAAATATGAAATAAGAATAAAAAGGGAATACTTAACCTTTACCATTTATAATTTTCTTATGTTCTGATCTAATATTTCATTTTGTTCAATTAGAAACCTGGTGGATAGTAAGGAAATAGTTCATAAAGTTCTATAAAGTCACGCACTCACCTCAAATTGCTACTAAGAGATATCTCTAACTCTGTCTCTAGAGTACTCTACAGTACTCAAACAAAATCGTTTATTCCTGTCACATTTGGGGGGATGATTAAATAACAAAATGTATGTAGATATGTAGGCTTTAGCTGGCATATAACATACATAAGTAAACTGCAATTATTATTTTTTACTGTCAGACATTAAAGCATAAATTGAATTTTACCTGACGGCCTTCCTTGATAATCTATGCGTTCCCCTCACCAGTATTCCAAAGGCTTCATTCGTATTCTCTTGGTCCTGCAAACATTTGGTGTGTTGGATGGCAATACTGTAAAAATATAAGAGACAAAAATGTATATATATAAATGTTTAGTTGGATGATGCTTTGCATTGAAAAGATTATATTACCTCCTAAATGCTAATACTTCTAGACAAAACACTAAAACCATTTTAAAACATTTATGCTAATATGTAAGGAAATGTCAACAACAAATAGGCTGCTAGTTTGGAAAAGACTTGAAAACTCAATGATACCCAGGATTAATGATGTTAAAGGCACACAGGTACTGTCATATACCATAGGTAGAAATTGAAACTGATTGCAGACAATTTGATAATACCTGTTAAACTCTTTGACTCAGAAATTTCATTTTGAAAAATGAATTTGCAAAAATGTACACAAAAAATGGGCAAAGCCATAGATAGGTACAATAACACATTCTCAGTAGTAGTGCTTCGAATAGAAACAGAAAACAAAAATCAAACTGAAAACCATCTAGGTACTCCACAAGAGTTTATTTGTAATTTAAAAGGTTATGTATACATGTGTCCATGTGTATACATACACATAACCCACTCACTGTATCACAATAACACAAAGTTCTACATACCAGTTGAGTCTGTTGGCTATCTAATTAAATTCTTATGTTCTTATCTATTTTTTTATTTGCAAGAGATGTCTAATTCTGAAAATGTGTTTTTAAAACATTCCAGTCTATGGATCAAGAAGATGTGGTATATATACACAATGGAATATTATTCAGCAACCAAAAAAAATAAACTCATGTCATTTGCAGTAACATGGATGGAGCTAGAAGGAATTATGGTCAGTGAAATAAGCCAGAAAGAAAAAGAAAAATATTGATGGTTTCACTTATAGCAGGAATATAAGGGAACCAAATAAGACATCGGTGTAAAAAAATAACAGCACAAAACACAACAAAGCAAAAACAGACAATTATAAATCAGAGACATACTGTAGGGGAGGAGGAGGGAGAGGGATCAGAAGGAGGGAGGGAGGAGAACAGGGACTGAGGTGATGGTGCAGGGTACATTGGGGAGGAAATTCCATAGGGACTACATGAGGGGGTGGGGGGAGCAAATATTGTTTAAAAATGAACAACAAAGAGTCTTGAGACGTCATCAACATGGTGGCGAGGAAACGCTGCCAGTAAGACCTCCCATAAAAAAAAGTTAATAGGGAGGAAAAACAGCAGGTCCCTGAGAGAACTGGGACATGGAAGATAAACGGGCGACTCTGGCAAACTTCCCAAAGAAGAAAGTTGCCATAAAAGAGGTCTAGAAGGGAGGAAAGCTCAGAACCCTGCTACCCACCCCACCCACAAAGTCGGCACTCTCCAACCAACAGAAAGGAGGAAAAAAAAAGATATAAAAAAATTTTTTTTAAAGTGACACAACACACCCACACATAAAATAAAACCTCCCAGTCTAACTGTATTATCTAAATAAAAAAAAAACTCCTCATGTTCTCTTATTTAGCTGCTAGGTTGTTTTGCACATTTTTTACATCTCTTCATAAATTGTTCACTTTACCATTACATGTCCTTTCTTTATCCTACATTTTCATTTTATTTTATTATTTTTTAAAGATTTATTTATATTTATACGCACACTGGGTACAGTCAGAAGTTCAGGAGGGTGAGAGAATTCACCAGAGCCAGAGCGGGGAGCAGAACAGGCAGATTGACGAAGTATGCTGCTGAAGGAAGCAGTGGGCACGGCAGGAGAGGTCTGTTGCACCATGTGGGACCCTCGCCAGTGGCAAGGGATGGAACAGGTGCTGCAGAGGCTGCAGGCAGCTTCGCAGCCCAGTGCTCAACCGCTGCACCACCGGGGAGGCCCTACACTTTTATTTTAATCTTAAATTCTACTTTGCTTGGGGGCAGGTTGGGGAAAAATTTCTACCTTGTTTAATACTTAAATTACACTACTATTTTCTTCTGGTATACCTACTTAATTCTTTGATGATCTTTCATTTAAAAACTTGTTTTAAGAGCATAGTATAAATATGTAGTTTGATTTGTATTATTTAACCAAATCTGATAGTTTCTATCATATTAAAGGAACTTAATACACATAGTGTAACAATATGCTTCCTCTTAGTTCTTCCATTTTACTTTATATTTCTTAATTATCTTATATTAATGATTTTTCTTTCTCCTAACTTTTATTGGTTTGATCAATGATTATTCCTTTTCTTCTAATCCCTTAATCACATGAAGAGGATCTGGAGCCTCAAATGCGATCACAGTCCAAGCTGACACTTTTGATTGCAGCTTGTGATATCCCTAGAACACAGGACCCAGCTAACTTTTGTCTGAGTTCCTGACCAATGAAAACCATGGGATAAATAAATGTTTGTTGTTTAAATCCATAAA